AGAGAGAGAGAGAGAGAGAGAGAGAGAGCATTGGGTGAGTGGTTGTTGAAAAATGTAAAAATTGACGTTAAGAACAGTTTAACTAAAATCCAAGATTTCATTGATTTGAAGGTCAGATCAATTACAGCTCACAGACTCTCTGCGAAAAGTCTGTAGAAATACTTCAATAATTATTTGCAAATAAAAACCAATTTATAGTCAAAAATAGATATAAATCATAATTTGGACATCAATTTTGAAATGAGCGCTCATTTGAGAGGATGTATGCAATGCGTGGCAATGCATGCAATGTATGGCATGTGATATACAGGCAATGGAGTGGTGTTTGTGTTGTTTATAATCAAAATGAATACTTATTTTCATTTGGATCTATTGTACAAAAGGGGAAGTTCTCGGCCGACGCCTCCGAAGACGTCAATACATTGAAAAACGTAGACTTTCTGCGCAAAACGGGAGACAATGGTATGAATGGTTGTCATCACTCATGAGTTGGTGTGAGTCATACCCGACATTAGGGACGCCAACGATTCCCACTTTGAGTTGAGTCGAGATTCTGCCCAAAAGGACAGTCTTTTCCGTGTCTTTCGAGTCCTTCTTCGGCGGCATTTCAGGCAAATTACAGATCAAAACACTAAATACCGATTCGTTTGACAATCAATTCAATCAATGGTTGAGTCAAAGGTTTGAGTCAAGGGTTGGTCAGCCGTTGGCAGTGATTAGTGGACTAATTGTCACTAAATTATCGGTAATTAAGACAATGTTTTGGCCAAAAGTCGGCAAAAATGGCGACAATTTTGCTGAAACACGAGGTCTGAGAAAAACATACGGTTTGTATGCGTTGTGCGCATGCATTAGACCAGTGATGTGTGCCGTCAATAGCGGCACAATTCCTAATATACTGGGAGTGTTGGGCAATATTCTCATAGAATTGATGCCTTTTCTCCATATTATAAGGAATGGGAATATTTGTTGGAATTTATTACTATAATAATTGTCTTGAATACTAGACTTTGCAAAAGTTATGAAATGATAAAAGCTTACAGTTTTGTGTTTGCATTACTTTTATGGCAAGAATATATTTGTTCTCTCATTATGACCAAGATATTTGTTTAATGCATTTGTAACTTACATTTTTACATTTATAATATTTGACGAGATGTATATAAGTTGATAGGAAGTATAACCATGGTACATTTGGCAGCACTAGTTAGGGCAGGAATAAGGATTAACTATAAGAATATGGTTTACAAGAATTGCTATATTTGTTAATTTCATTTTTTATTAAACATAAAATTATATATATTTTGAGTTGAGTTGTTGTGCATAGTTTGATGCGAAGCCCACGTCTATAACTCATTGAATTAGCTTTTAATTGAAATAATTAATTAGGAATTTATGATAATTTATGTTAAATATTGCAAAGTATGGGAGAATTGAGAGAGAAATGAGTGTAAAAGTAAAAGACATTACTTGAAGAATATTTGTATAAAAGTAATAGATTTAAAGATACTTGATTTGATAGAGAAGTAGTAGTGAAATGGTTTGTATTACTGTATGGTTTGGTATGATATGATGCGGGGATGAGATCATAGACCTGATGCAGTGATGCCCTGATCAGAGGTGCGACTCACTGTTGTCTGTGTTTAGATAATTGCAAATTGTTATAATGAAGATAAATATATCTTAAGGCAAAACAATTTGCATTAATCATCACAAGAGCGCCATTGGCTCTCCAATGCCAGTGAAATGAAGCCTTAATTTGATGCAAAACTGTACACCAGTTCTTGCATTTGAGCCCAACTTTGATATAATGCATATAAAATGGCATAATATGTATCTCTTAGTAGTTCTGTAGTATTTGGAGAGTCAGGTAATGCAGGTGTTCCTCATGGGGTCGGACCGGAGTCTCACTAAAAGTACTCACTTATGAATGCTGTCATCCGGAAAACGGGTGGGACTTCGAGTCTCTCTCTCTCTCTCTCCCATACTTTGCAATATTTAACATAAATTATCATAAATTCCTAATTAATTATTTCAATTAAAAGCTAATTCAATGAGTTATAGACGTGGGCTTCGCATCAAACTATGCACAACAACTCAACTC